TATTTCCTTTCCCCCATGTACACTCTTCCTGGTAAAAGGCCTTCAGTCCCTTTGGGGAAGCTGGGAGAAAGATTAACAGTATAAATATTTAGCTGTGTACCAAGATCCTTCTTCAAGGAGGACCAGCCTCCCCTTCATTCAGTTGGTTCTGGGTCTGTAATCCAGCTCCAGTCTGGGAATGATGGAGGGGACATGACTCTGTTTTTATGATGCAAGTTAGGTTTTCATTCACTTGTCATAGAAGTTTTCTACTTATACACTTATACAGATCAAGTAAGAATTGAGTAGACTTCCTATCTATTTCACTTCATGGGTAACTAGCCAATGCCACAGATGGCTGCAAGTCAGACTATGCTGGTTGCTGCTTGAACTCCACTGTCTTTTACAACACCTACTCCCACCCACCCTGCCATGGGCAATTAAGCGATGTTGAGCAAGATGACAGTCCCAGCCCTTTGGAATTTACATGCTGGTGTAGGAGAGAAAGAAGAACATAAAAAGTAAATATTTTCAGGCATCAATTGTACGTACTGCCAAGGAGACAAAACAGGAAACTGTCTGAGACCCATTGGGTGTGTGGTCTCAGGAAACGCCTCTGGGAAGCTGTGAGTGGGAAAGTCCTGGGAGAAGAAGCTTCAAAGCAGAAAGGATGGCAAGTACTGTACTCCTAGGAAATGCGTGGAGTGTGGGGGGCTCTGTGCACCAGAGGCCCACAAAAGAAATATTACCAACATTTTGGAATGTTTTTTCATTTAGTTTTTCTCAATTTAAAAACTGGATCAGATATGGTTGGAGGGAGTTGTTTAAGTCGATACAACATGGTCTTTCATTTAAGGTCTCTAGGATGAGAATCTTGATTCTCTGGCTTAAGTTTTAATAAAGAAAGTTTAAATAAAATGAGAATATATAAAAATTCAGCTGCTTCTGTACTGAGTTAATAAGCAATGGGAATGAAGGGTTTAAATATGACACGCCTTTGAAAACAAGAAGAGCATTTAAAGGGAAATTTTCTTATTCACAATGTTATTATTGTTTTCTCCTTCCTCTGTGAGATTCCCAAGCCCCTTGTGACCTCTTTTCAGGCTCTAATTCTTGGAAGATGGGGACTAGAAGAGCTGCCTGTCTGTACAGACTGTAAGCAACTTGAGGTGAGGGCTCAGCTATATCCATGAAAAACCTTGCATGCTTCCAGTGGGTAGAGTAGGTGTTGCAATGTTTTTTGAGTTGAATTGGAATGGAATTGGAGAAAAAGAGACTTTGATGAGATTCCTCAGAGACTCAGAAACAGAGTACCCAGATAAACTCTAGAGCTGTTGAGAAAAACCCTGGGCCATGAAGGTAGCACTTCACAAAGCAAACAAAAGTAAAATAGCCCATAAACTTTGGTGAAGAAGAAAAATATGGCAATGGTCAATTTTACGTGTTAACTTGACTGGATTAACAGATACCTAGACAGCTGGTGTCTTAGTCCATTTTTGTTGCTATAAAGGAATACCTGAGGTGGGGCAATTTATAAAGAAAAGGGGTTTATTTGGCTATGGTTCTGTTGGCTGGAAGACTGGGCATCTGATGAGGGCCTCAGGATGCTTCCACTCAGGGGAGAGTGCAAAGGGGAGCTGGCATGTGCAGAGATCACATGGCGAGAGAGGGAGCAAAAGAGAGGGCTGGGGGTGCCAGGCTTATTTTTAAACAACCAACTCTCGTGGGAACTAATAGAGCAATAACTCATTCACATTAATCTAATCATGATAGATTCACCTCCATGACCTAAAAACCTCCCATCAGGCCCCACCTTCAACACTGGGGATCAAATTTTAACATGAGATTTGGAAAGGTCAGACATCCAAACTACAGCAGCTAGTAAAGCATTATTTCTGGGTGTGTCTGTGAGGGTGTTTCTGGAGGAGATTGGCATGCAAACTGGTAAACTGAGTGGGGAAGTTCTGCCCTCAGTATGGGTGGGGACCATCCCATCAGTTGTGAACCTGGAGAGAACAAAAAGGTAGAGGAAATTCTGATTTGCTCTCTCTCAGAGCTGGAACATCCTTCCTCTCCTGTCCTGGGACAACAGATGTCCAGGTTCTCTGGCCTTTGGACTCTGGGACTTGCACTAGCAGCCCCCTGAGTTATCAGGCCTTCAGCCTTGGAATGAGAGCTATATTATCAGCTTCCCTGGTTCTGAGGCCTTCAAACTTGTACTGAGCCATGCTACTGGCATCCTAGAATTTCCAGCTTGCAGAAGGCCTGCCATGGGACTCCTCAGCCTCCATAATTGTGTGAGTCATTGCCTTAATTAGTCCTCTCTCATATCTATCTATCTATCTATCTATCTATCTATCTATCTATCCATCCATCCATCCATCTAATCTATCCATTCTTTCCCATTGGTTCTGTCTCTTTGGAGAATGCTGACCAATACAGATTTCTTCCCTCATTTTCCTTAATAACTTCATTTCTCAGGTCCTCTCAGTTGCTGTATCCCACAAAACTCCGCAGAGGTTTTGCCACCTGGACTAAGGTAACTAAGCTCATATGACTTCCCCCTCAGTACTGCCCGCAGACTAGGTACTCACCATTTATTATAGAGATTAACTTGATTTATGCTTGATTTTACTTGCCATGTTTTCTCCCAAATATTTTGTCCCTGATTAGGCCTTTCTGTTTCTTGCATGGGCCAGACTTGAAATTTAAAAGCCAGAAAGGGGTCTCTTTCTGCCTCCTCCCCTGCTGTCACACTGAGGCAATCAGCATAGTACAGCTTAGCTAAATGTATGGGAGGAGGAATAAAGGAGATAAGAAATGCCAAACTATGAGTGAGTGTTTCTAAACGTTATCCTACATTATCTTCTCTACCTTGTACTTTCAATGCATCATCTCATTTGATCTTCACACTCCAAGGTAAGAATGCAAAGTCCTAATTTCTTCTTTTACAAAAGAAAAAGCAGTCAAGAGAGCCTGCGTGACTTTCCTAAGACTCCATGATAAAGGGCAGGAGCAGGGCACACCTGGATTTCTTGATTCCCAGCCCCCAGCAGTCCTGACCTGCTGGTTGAAAAATGATTTGTCTGCAACAGGAATGAGGATGATATCAAGAATACATCTAAGTTGTCTCTGCTTTTATATTGCCCTTGAATTTGCTTCTGGACAGTCCATTGGTTTGGAGTATTTTGCAGCCACCACAATGGACCTTTTTCTCTACAGTCTGTTGGGATATCCATGTCACAATCCAGATTGGCAATTAAAATTGCCACAATAATTTGACCACAGTCATGTACTTTTGGGTCTTTGGATATTGCTTAAATTTCCCCAAAAAGATTGCAAACTGAAAGGACTGGAAAATTCAGCACCTATGCTGTTAGTTTTCTCTTGATAGGCTAGTGGTATTACATAGATAACAAAAGGGAGAAGGAAGCTTGGCCCTTCCTGGTGGCAAGAATGTCTTATCCTATGGACCTACTCACTGAGAAGGTCCTTTAACAAACAGCCCCAAATAACATCTGTTCTTCATTCATTCATTTCATTCAATCATTCAATCATTCAACATTTAGGTCTGCTGAAACCCTGTGAGTCCATGATCCAAAATCCATCTCCAAGTTAGCAGCGTATGTAGCCAATCTCAGAAACTGAGCACCAAGGGGCTCCCCTGTGGAGAAAAAGCCTCCTCTCCCCTTTCTCCATTGCTACAAAGCAAACGATTGATTCTGAACATTTTTTTTCCCCCAGGAACAAAATATTTTACACTTTCCCAAACTCTCCAGCCATCTTGGTTTACTGAAATGCACTGTCTTCACTCTAAGGAAAGCTCCTAAAATTTGTGCAAGTTACTCAAGTATTGGCTAAGTGCTCACTGTGTGCAGAATGTAGCATATGAGGAGCTATGGGAAATGCTACTATACATAATTTAGAAAGACATGCTATAGTCCTCTGACCTCTTTTCACAAAACTGTATTCTGCTTTGTAGGTTGTGGTATGTATAATCAACAACCACAACTGACAGCTTTTAAAGTTTATAACCCAGCCCCATTGCCCTCACGTTCTTCATTTAGTTTTTAAAATTGTATATTATTCCTACAGATTCATTTTTATGTTAGGTATCTTGAAAAAAAGTCTCTAAGTTCTCAATTATGAATCAAAATTATACATATATATGTGTGTGTGTATATATATATATTAACTTTTAAGTTCAGGAGTACATGTGCAAGTTTGTTATAGAAGTAAACTTGTGTCATGGGGGTTTGTTGTACAGATTATTTTGTCACCCAGGCATTAAGTCTAGTACCCATTCATTACAAAAATTTTATATTTTTACTATTTTTTTTCTTATTGAAGCAAAGTGTCTCATATATTCCTTATTGAACTATTAGGTTTTTCTGTGCTTATGAATTCTTTCAGTATAGTAATAAGTGCTTTAAGCTCTTTAAAGAAAATGACTTCACCATCAGCTACACTATCCCACTGCATTTGGGTAATAGTGCAACTTCTGTTAATTCGACAGAAGTCAGGAACTTACTAAAAATTATGTCTCCAGGAGGCTTTCTACCAAGTTAAATATGCCAAGTTAACATAGATCAATAAAACAGCATTTATTTGAGACACTCTAATCCTGAATTTAAGAGCACGCTTGAACAGTTCAAACCTTTAATTAGCTCATAACAGGTAGGACAAGAGCTATTTCCTACTTACATTAAATTTTCAGAAGCAGCATATATCTGTGAATGTGTTCTACCATAGAAATGGCATTCCATTTTAAACAATACCCATCTTCTAGAAGTAATAATCAGCTACGAAAACATAGGTGTGTGTTCCCTTCGCTCCTGCATTTAAAGGTTGATAATTACATTTCTAAGAACCAGCATTGTGGCTTCCAGGGCTGACATGAGGATGTGGAGGGAGATGTGTGAAGGGATAATTTCCTCCTAATAAGGTTCTCTAGAGTGGAGAATGTGTTCAATTATGAAGAATAAACACATTACTATAAAATATGAAAGAGAAAACCTTACCCGAATCCAGAAAGTAAGCGACAGAAGAGAAAGAAGCCATAACCTTGGACAAATGAAGAAAGGAAGGCAAAGAATCCGTTGACAGACATGCAAATCAGAAGAGACTGTTTCCTTCCCACTTTGTCTGCCAGTCCTCCCCAGAAGAACGCCCCCACCATCATCCCGAGGTACACTATGCTGCCTGCAACACACAGAAAACAGAGAAACACATCAGAGATTGGGAGTCAATGACACATGTAACAGCAAGTGAACAAGGAACAAACTACATTCCAGCATTTTGCATGGGGAAAATTTCCTTTAAAAATATAACCTTCAGGACATAGTAATCAGTTTTCAAGTTGAAGAGTAAGCTCTGTGGACTACCGTCAGCCATAACCAATTGCATGAGCTGATGAGAAGTCATTTCCTTTACCATCGCATGCACAAAAAGACCAAATGGTCATGTTCCAGCCCGTTTTTGTGGGGATGCGTACAGAGCAGGCAGGCATAAGAACTCACCATACAGAACCATCCTTGCATGTGACCCACAGTCAAGTTACCTTTGGTCCAAATGCCCAGCCTAGCACCATGACAGGGCCAAGATGGGAGACCAAGTCAAGGGCTTCCAGGCCACAGTGGAGCCTCCAGACTGCTTCAAATCTCTGCCTGTAGCCAATGACCTGGGCCAATGCCAGACTCTCAAGACCCCTCTCAAGGATTCCATGGTTTCTTTTTCTGTGTTCCATCCTAGAAGCGCTTGTTTTTATGGGAGTTAGGAAAGGTGGGTTTAGAGATTATATGAGTTAATTTTAAAATAGTTTCTAACTCTGTCCATAAGAGAAAACTCTTTTTTTGGAGTCAGGAGGTTAAAGAGAAGGAAAAGAGCTTTAGTGTGATGGGAAATATTAAACTTATCATGGTTGGCTTTGATCACTAAGGGAAACAAATGGAAAATCCAGAGTGGGATAGATGTTCCTCTTGGCATTATTGTGAGTATATACTTGAATTTTCTAATTTACTTTCTTCTAAAAAAACAGACCTTTGCCAATGATGATTAAGAATTTCTTCACCTGAATAAACCATGTGGTCATATTGTATCTGAAGAAAAAAGAAAAAAGAAAAGAATAAAAAGAAAAACAAAACAACAACAACAAAAAATAGAAAACCAGACCTGCCACAGGCCCTGTCCAGAATCTTTCTCAGGATGAAATAATATTCCACGTGGCAAATGTTAGTTCAAGAGGGTTTCTACAAGGGTGAAAAATGTCTAGGAAAGATGGCATAAATAACACATGAAGGTTTGTTATATCTGGATGTGGCACTAAAAAAACTGCTACTTCATCTTTTATCCATTTCTACTTTTTCTGATGCTTCACCCAAGAATCATTTTAAAAGGCACATTCAAGATACTCTGTAGCATTTAAGCAAAAATGTAAAAAAAAAAAAATTAGTTTATTTATTGCTTCAGATTAGTTTGGGAATTATCCTATTTGAACACGTACCCTCAAATTAGTTTGGTAAACACACAGTTAAAGAAGCAATACGGAAAAAAAAACACTTGGCAAGCTCTCATGACCCTCACATCAATAATGCAGGGATGCTGTTTTGCAGATAACTGAGTACACTCAGCTACAGTGAATGGTGAATGTTGAGAGCAATTGTAAAATAAGACAAAATAAAAGCTGCCTTTATTTAGACTGGGTTACTAAAGAGAATGGGGTGGTCAACCTTTGCCTGTGTGGGGAGGGTATATTTTTCTCCATACTGTGGTGCTGACTATAGACAGATCATCCTTCTCAATAGAGATTCCTCATATCATGAGACCCAGTGCGCGTCCTGGAGACAATTTAGAGAATGTATCAGTGCAGTGCGAGGGATTCCAAAAGCAGAAGGATTGACCCAGGGAAATGCCTATGTAGCAGATCTCTTATTTATAGCATAAGAGGCTCAAGTTTGCCACTCATGCCTCTCAGAAGATAACCACAAGCTAAGAAACTTTATAAGAATATCTGTGTCTTTTAAAATGCCTACAAATCAGAAAGTGAGCTTTTATAGATCAGGAGTGGCCTGTGGATGCTGTGATCTAAAGACTTGGGAGTCTTTCATATAGCTCCAGCCCAGGGGACAAAGCCTCCCCCATCCCTTTCTCCTTATGTCCTTCAGAACTGCCCCCATCCAGCCCCTGAGCCCTGGGGTAAGCCACCTCGATGGCAATAGTAAACCAAGATCTCTTGTGGTCCACCTGAATTATCTGACTACAGAAAGCATGAGTAACAGAGAGACAAGCTGCCTGCATTCAATCAATAACCACTTATTATCTTTTAGTGATAATAGTAAACAACAGTGCCTGGTACTACTTTCACTGAGTGAGCATCTGCTTGTGCCAGGCACTCTTTCAGGAACATTCCATATGTTGGTTCACTTAGTCCTCACCATAGTCCCACAAAGTGAGTATTATTAAGCCATTTTATAGATCAGAAAACTAAGGCTCAGACAGATTATTCAACTTGATCTCATGGAGAGTAAGTGGCTAGCCAGGGTTGTGAAAAGAAGTTTCTCTGACTAAAGTCTGGGGGTCTTTCTCAGGACTGATATTCTATTTCACCAGGCTCAACTGCCCTGGCCCTTCCACTGGGAAGTCCTGGACTTTCCCTTGATCCAGCAACTAAGGGGTTAAAACCTGATGCTACAGGGTAATACTTAGAGCTATAAACACGTTATTTTGATTCCCTGGCTATCCTTGTTATTAATTATTTTGAATATTGCCATTGTTCTTCCTGCTAAACTCAACTTGGGAACCCCTGTTATGTGCAAACCAGAAACCAGGTGATGTGAAGCAAGGTCTTTAGTTGGGTGTTAATTTCTGCTTGAGCGCAACCCTGTTGTGTTTAAAGAAAGTGCATCTGAGATCTCGGGGCAAGGCAGGTTAACCAAGATTCTTACTGTGCCCTAGACTCTCACCATCCACTGCTTTCTGCATTCCTCCTACCACCCTTTCCCTAAAGGCATTTGGACTTTCAGACCCCTGAGAATACGGGATTTACGGTCTGGGGAAAGTGGCTTATCAAAAACAAAGGCAGTGAAACATCTATGGCCTCCTGGGATCATAGGATCAGAACAAAACAATGCAGAAGTGTAAACTCATGTACCTGTGCTCCAAGTCATCCAAATTTTCTTCCTACTCTGTCAGGACGGCTTAAGGAGCTTGTAATTCAGAGGACACAAACGGATACAAAACTAAATGAGCCCAAGCCTAACCATGTGGTGTGCACCCCAACAGCAGTGTAAATGGGAGCAGAGGGGCAGGAGGTGGCCACTAATTCTCACATGGCCTCTGGGAAGATTTCACTAACAAAAGAACAACAGAGGGGAATCTGAAGGATAAGAAATATTTCAAGATGGTATTAAATTCCTCCATGACTGACACAGTTAGTATAAAAAATGTCATATCAAACTGTGTCTTCACTTGCACTCTGTTTAACAATATTTTTAAGATCTAAAGGTAGTAATCTTTTGTGACTACACTTAATTTGTATTGAAAAGTGAACTGTTCCGTTGGGCATTCTGTGGAAAGAATTAATCCTACCCAACAGCTTATTGGAGACAAACACAGCACAATTAGAACATTCATTTGTGGATCGTGTGATCTAATTAAAGCCAGACAAAGCTTTAAATGTTGGCCAAGGCATCAGGTGAATAATTGTAACCACTCTGGGATTGTCAGACATAAACTGTACTTCCTTCCCTGTTTGCATTCACTTTTCCTCTCTACCTTCACAGTGTTATAATGGGCAGTCCTTGAAAACTCAGAGCAGAGATCAAGCTCTGGACAATCGCCAGCCTTCTCTGCTCTCTGTGCCTTGAGATGCTGCAGAAGGGCAGACTTAAAACGTATCTTCATCCAAAGCCCCTCGTTTTACAAGTGAGAAAATTGAGATTCTCAGAAGCTAGAACTTGAAATCATGTCTTTTAGATCCTCACTTCTCAAAATATGACCCCTGAACCAGTAACACCAGTCCCTGCTCCCCTGCCCTGGGGAGCTTACTGGAAATGTAGACTCTCAGACTCTACTCCAAACCCACTGACTCAAAGTCTGCATTTGAATAAGACCCCCAAGTGATCTGTGCACACCTTAGAATCTGAGGATGCTTTCCAGTAAAACAGATAACCTTTCTAATACATTTTTAACATAAAGTTTGTATTTATTTAATCCATGCTTGAGGGGAGGAGATGAAGGCTACAGAGTATTTTAATTCCAAAGATGTGAAACAGGCAAGACCTGCTAGATGAGCTGGAGCTCTCAAAAGGGCAAGCAGGAGCTGTGGAATTAGAAGTTGCTCACCTCCCCTGGGACCTGCCTTCCACAGAACTAGAAGCTGACTTTCCATTCAATTCCAGGAGAGCAATGTTAAAAAAGGCCAGGCTGTGACTCTTGTATCCTTTCATGAATTTAGTGAAGACTTTAATTCAGCTGGGCTTTCAAGTTGAACCTGACCTGAGAAATAAACTCAACTTACTCTTCCTATCATAGTGCTGGTGAAGGCCATTCCTGATCAGTCCAGGTTGTTAGTCTTTCAGAAGACGACACAAAGGCCTCAAATATGGCTTCCTCATTAAGGTAGTTTCTGACATGAAGGCTGGTTCCATTTTATCTAATCATACCCTCATTTTCCCTGATAAATATCACATTTACATTTCTGTCTCTTTGCTAAGCTGCTTTTGATTCTTTCTGACAATCCCTAAGGGGACATGTCTTTTCCCTCAACACCATTTTAAACCATATTTAAACAAAACAGAACAACTTTAGGAAATGATATATAGTGTTTTTCTCATACCAACTTTTAGCCCCTCAGTTTTTAAAAATTGTTTTAAGTACTTCAGCTACTCATGGCTAATACATTACTCTAGAATTCCTTGCACCATTTATTTATAAACTGATTTTCAATGAAAACCATTCTGTATTGGTATTCCGAATTCATTGATGATAAGGTGTGGGCCTGTGTCCCTGCCCAAATCTCATGTCAAATTGTAATTCCCAATGTTGGAGGTGGGGCCTGGGAGGTGATTAGACCATGGGGGTAGATTTCCCTTTTGCTTTTCTTGTGATAGTGAATGAGTTCTCACAAGATCTGGTTGTTTAAAAGTGTGTAGTACCTTCCCCTTTTTTCTCTTTCTTCTGTTCTAGACATGTAAGACATGCCT